CATTTTCTAGGTGTTATCGTGGAAAAGTAATTAAGCAGCTGTATATGCTAGCTAATTTGTCAAAAGTCTTGATCCTACGCAGAATTTTTGGAGTTATGACTTTACTTATTTTTACCCGATATTTTGTGAAAGTTATGAGTTGTGACAAAGCTAAAAACCTTGTGCCACAATAATTATAATATGCTACCTCCACCTAATTGTACTTAAATGTGTTGTTGACGCAGTCAACAACTTTATTTATATTCGATATTACACATGAAAATGGCTCTAGTCCCTCAAAATTATTTGAAAGCAACTGCGCGCTAGCTAGCTGCCATTGCATTTTGTACACTAGTATTTGTAAATTACTGCCTAAATGAATTTTTAGCAAGTTTCAAACTGAGAATAGTGTTAAAGTATAAAATTATTGTTGACTCACCTCCTAATAATTTAAACTTTTTAGATGAATTGGTAAACTAATATGGTATCAATACGGGAGGTCCTTGTTCAAACCCCTGTAATTGCACTCTTTATCCTCATTTAAAATTGTCATCATGTGTTAGGTTTTTATCTTTAATATATCTCGGACTTAAATATTCACGTATTGGATTTTTTAATTAATTTACCCACACGATTATCCATTGTCCAACTCACACATGAGGGGGAGTGTTAAAGTATAAAACTATTGTTGGTCCATCTCCTAATAGTTTAAGCTTTTGAGATTGATTGGTAAACTAATAAAGAGATCATATAATTTGGCTTAGGAAAGGGGGAAAAAAACTGAAAAAAAAAAAAGCTGATGTGTTGAGATGTCATGGACTAGGAATTATTGTTGAAATTTGTCTCTCCTTTTTCCCCCATTAATTTGTTATTTCACGCTAATGCTGTGTTTCCAATTTTTATCATTGCTGCAATGGCTTCCATGTTTTAAGATCAAGACTACATTTTTTTTTACGGAATTAAGACTATACATATATTTACATTTGTATAGATATATGCAAGTGTACTATTATCTCACCGTACGTACATGATCTTTGCTTAAGTGTATGCCCGTTCATTTTACCAATTTAAGTTTAGAATTCGAGTTTTGTTACAGTAAAAGGCTTTAAGAAACAATCACATCTAACTTTTTTACTACAGTAAAAAGCTCTAACATAAAATCACACATCAACTCAAATCAGTGAACTAAACGGGCCCGTAGTCTCTACGGGTTAATATCTAAATTAAAATGTCTATAATAAAATGGAGAATACTAATTTCGTAAGAGTAGAAACAAAAATCATATAATGGTACAATTTTGAACCACTAATTAAATTTTCATCAAATGTGATAATGACGATTCAAAACTGTATTGTACATTAGACTTTGTTTTCATAGATTTAAACTAAAAAGTTTTGGTTGAGACATTTTTTGTTGTCGTGTTTTATTTCACATAATTTTTTTTTTTTTGTAAAATGAATGAATAAATGTGTTCGAACCAAAACATCTGGTGTCAGTTTAACCAATCACATTGTGATGCAACAATAAAAAAAATTAAAATACTTTTTAATTAACACTTTCACGTATTGTTCTTCTATAAATTCATTAAATGATATGACATAATACGATTAATTATTATAATATTATTCTCCAACTTTTCACTATCATAGATCCTCTCATATTAAACATTAGTTTCATGTGGGTACCACTTAGATAAAAATGCATGGTAAAAGTCTAAGGCCTTGTTCATTTCATTGATTCGAGTTTTCAGTTTTAGATTTTTACAGTAAAAAGCTCTCAGAAAATGTCACATCTAACTTTTTCTGCTACAGTAAAAGGCTCTCACAAAATGTTACATCTCAGTTCGAATTGAAAACTCGAATCCGCGAAGTGAACGGGGTCTTAACGGCAGTATCCAATTGTACTGCACAATTTCACATAATTCACCATTTGCCTTATTGGGATAAATATATGTTATATTTTTGTTAGCTAGTGTTGTGGTCTGAACACATCGATTGAGAGGAATTGAGGGCCATGACCTGCAATGGTAGACAACATTGCTGGAAAGTTGACAAAACAACTTCTGAATACGACATGGATTAATTGAAGAACTCAATTATTATTATTTTTTAAAATTTTTAAAAAGGAAAATTCCATGCACATCTCCTCCTTAGGTAGGTCTTAGCCTTTCCTTCCAAATTATAAAGTGTAAAAACGCATGTAATGCCAACTTAGTAAGGGCTCTTTTGTTTCCCCAAAAAGTTCCTTTTTTTTTTCCAGATGACAATATTAATTCTTCGAGAAAAGTTTTTTTTTTGTCCTTCATCTTCAAAATATAAGGCATATTTGAGAATATATATATATATAAGGTACACTTTTGAGAAATTTTTATAATAACAACTGTTCTTTTAAATATTATTAGATTAATTTTGAACGGTCCGTTTTATGAGTATTTCACGTTCAATATTTACAGAACGTGATAAAAAAACACTACTCGCACTTATAGATCAGACTAACTATACAAAATTAATTTATAACAGCAGCGCACCTATTGATGGTAAAAAGAACAACTTCAACCGTAAGAATTTCCTATAAAGTTGTTCAAAACTCTATAACATTAACCGAGTGTTTTTAAGGTTCTTCCACGATAGGATCACCTCCTATCAGTGGTGCGGTTAAAACCACATTAAAATAAAAAGTATACAGAATAGATAATTTTTAATATTAATATAAATCTGAAGGTTGAAAAATATATATAAACCTCACAGTAATTTATTTTTTCACATTTAATTTAGTGTAGAAATCTTTCGTTTTTAAAATGTTGGATCATCAATAAATTTGACTAACTTTTAACGAACAAGACTGCATAAGAACAGTAATTGATACTTACGCCTCGTTCATTTTGCGGATTCGAGTTTTCAATTCGAGTTGAGATGTGTGACATTTTTTTAGAGCTTTTTACTGTAGCAGAAAAAGTTAGATGTGACATTTTTTGAAAAAATTTTACTGTAAAAATCTAAAACTGAAAACTCGAATCGGTAAAATGAGCGAAGTTTTATTCTTTTTTTATTTTAATTTTTTGGGTACTATATCAAGAAATTCTCGTAAATATAAAAATTCTCCAAAAACAGAAAAGATAGAAAAACAACAGGTAAAATTTCTGGTCATTTGCCGTACCAAAGAGAATCCATCCCCACATCGAATAACTCAAGTTTTGAGGCATGCAGTGTGACAAGTAAAAAAATAGGAAAGTCAAGACTCGCAGGCGTAAGCAACTAAGCAATACCATGAAAACAGTTGAGAGATGTCTCTCTCTCTCTCTTATTTATTAAATTGAGAGAGAGAGAGAGAGAGAGAGAGAGAGAGAGAGTTTTGTTATTTGCATGAAGAGGGCCATACGAGATAACGCGGTTTTGGAGTTGCGAGACAGGGAAAATACAGCTGTGGTTGTATTACATATGCAAAATCAAAAAATCTCTTACTAAACATTTATATATATATGAACATATATATATATCTCCGACTACGCGTGTTGTAATTATATTTTTGTTCTTTTTTGCAAAACGGCAATAAGTAAGCGCTGTTCATTTCGCTGATTCGAGTTTACAATTTAAGTTTTGTTACAGTAAAAAATTTTTAGAAACAGTCACGTTTAACTTTTTTATTTCAGTAAAAAACTCTCACATAACGTCACATCTCAACTCAAATTAAAAATTTAAATCAGCGAACTAAATAGACTTTTGTGTCATTAATTATTAAACCCCCTCTAAAACCTGCAGATCCTGGAAGCTGCGTAGACGGGAGAATCCTATGTTTCTCTCTCTCTTCTATCTAATTAATTGCGTTAATAATTTAAATTCACATCTTCCTTCAGGAAATGATTCCCAAAGTAGAAATAAGTTTTCCCACAACATCATAACAACCGGTGTGGGCGGAATTACTAAAATACCCTTCATTATATTTTTCAGAGTAACAAGGAAAACAAATAATAATAACAATAATATGGTTGGTTTTTGGCGACTTGGAGAACGGGTGACTTGCTGGGTAAGTCAGAAACCCTCTAGAACAATCATTTAATAAATTTTTCCTTTTACTTGGAATCTGATAGGAGCATGTGGGTTACAGGTATTTGCATTGCTCATTAATAATTTCCTTGGAATAATATTTTAGACTTTTATTTAAACTGTTGTTACTTTTAGTCACACAAATGAGATTGCCCAAACAAGTGTGAAATTGTTACACTTGCCAAATATTTAGCATTAGTATAATAACGAAGACTATCAGCTTAACTGACTCATTCATCAAGTAATTAATTAGCTTTCTTACCAGAACAAGCTTAGTCGCAACTGTCAATTAGCAAATATTATGTTTCTTTCCGGCCCTCCTTAAATATCTTGTTGTTCCCACTAGTAATCAATAATAAAAATATATATAAGTAATCCTTCATCATGCAATAAAGGGCAAAAAGGTCAGCTTAACTAACTCATATTCATCAAGTAGCTTTCTTACAAGAACAAGCTTAGTTGCAACTGTCAATTAGCAAACCTTATGGGGTTGTTCTTTTACAACAAAATTCACAAAAAATTTAAACTCAAGTTACAATTTTATTCAAGTTCACGTTCTTTTAAGTTCTAACTTTATTCAACTTTACTCAACTTTATTCAAGTTACAACTTCAACTCAAATTACAACTTCAACTCAACTAAAAAATTACACTCAAATCACACTCTAAAAGAACAAGCCCTATATTTCTTTCACTCCTTAAATATCTTGTTGTTCCCACTAGTAATCAATAATAAAAGTATATATAAGTAATCCTTCATCATGCAATAAAGGGCAAAAAGGCCATTTCACAAAATTCCTCCTTTCCCATTCACATGAACTAGGAAATATCTGTCACCCATTATCATATTCAAACAAGAGAGTAGAAAGAACCATACTGGTCCTCTCAAATTGTTTAGAGATCTCAACTCTCAAACTTCCATATCTATATAAATACTAGCATCTCCTCCCTCACAACAAGTTGCTCCCCCCATTCCTTTCCTTTCCTCATATTTTTATTTGAACAACAAGTAGTATACTATTAACACAATACATTAAACCAAAAAAAAAAAACCTTTCAATTACACCCTTCTCAAACTCCTTATTGCCATATATATCTTCCTATATATATATATAGTCCAAAACTCTTTATCTCTCTTTTTTCTCAACCATGGTGAAGATTGAGAAGAGCCCATCAAAGGCAAGAGGTAATAACTCTACTCCAACATCATCAACGCCCGGGAAAAATAAGTACAAGGGAGTGAGAATGAGAAGTTGGGGTTCCTGGGTTTCCGAGATTAGGGCACCAAATCAAAAGACAAGGATTTGGTTGGGATCATATTCCACCGCTGAGGCTGCGGCTCGGGCATACGACGCCGCATTGCTGTGCCTCAAAGGCTCCTCAGCCAATCTCAACTTCCCTACTTCAACGACAACATTCTCTAGTTCCTTGCAAAACGATGTCCCCCACGACGTCGTTTTGTCCCCCAAGTCCATCCAAAGATTCGCCGCCGCCGCCGCAGCCGCCGTAACAAATACGACGACAACAACAACTACAACGACTACTACTACGGCTAATACTACTTTTGTTAATGACAATAATACCCTTGCCATTTCAACACTTTATAATGATCTCCGATCTTCCTCTTACTCTTCCTCTTCTTCATCGTCAGTGGTCTCTTCGCCGTCGGATCAGGTTGATGACGACGTGTCGCTGATGGGTTCTCTTGATGGGACCCGCATGAATAATGATAACAATTATGATCATCATCAACAACCAATGGCTATGATGGAATCGTGGCCGTTTGATGCGCTTATTCATGAATACTCGCCAAAGTACGTGGATCATCATGATCATCAGATGCTAACAAGCTTAATGTTTGATCCGCAGATGTTGGTGGAGGATCCTTACGAAGAAAGCGATATTCGTTTGTGGAGTTTCTGCTGAGAAATTGAAAAAAAAAAAAAAAAAAAAAAAAAAAGTTATTCAATTTCATACTTATTTAATCATTCTTTATATATTATTATTTTTCCATTATTCGTTTTCATTGACGATCTTGTTGTTGCTTAAAAATATTACTGACAGTGGCCACAATTCATATTATATGTGTTGATTAAGTTAGTATGTGTCATTAGGGAAATATTTGAAGAAAAAAGAGAAAGAAATCTCACTCTTTGAGAAGAGACTGATTTTTTGGAACTCTCTCATGTGGGTAATTATTATTTTTATTGTATGTGTATTTTCTTTTTGAACTTTGATGTATGCTTAATGCAAATTGCGTTGTTAATTAAATTCAATATTGTTTATATATGGATGATATTCTTGCATGTATTCCAAATAAAAATAAGAAATTACAAGTTCGTCTACATATTGTTCATTTACTGCCGTCCATTTCTTTTTCTATTATTTCCTTTTTATTTATTTATTTACTTATTATTATTTTATTTTTTATTTTTATTTTTTGGTGATGTATGGTTAACTTCAAAGCTAATAAAAGGAAATTTCACGCGCTAATTGTACTGTGTATGTGAGAGTTGTGGGGAATCTTGTATAAATATGTCAGAGATATGCCTATCTCACTGGAACAAAGCACAGAGCTTGTGGAAACTTGAATCCATCTTGTATATAACGAATGACTTTTCTTAAGGGAATTCGAATGTATCTTTTGTACATATGTACACAATACCGCAGAATATACTTACACATACTAGTCTAATTTTTCATTTATTTTTCTAGCTATGTGATAAATATGGACGAGTTCTTAAGGGAATTCGAATGTATCTTTTCTAGCTAGTGGTTACTTATTAAATATAAAAAATTTGATAATGTGTATGATAAGAAATTAATTTCATTAATTACCACAAATTTTTTTAGTCAATTATCTATTTTATTACAATATCGGATCAATATCTTACGTACGGTTAAAATAACTACAAAAAAATCATTAAAATCACACCTAATACATATATATTCACAGTAGTAGTAGTAGTAGTAAATCATTCTAAAAGTGATGGAATTGCTTAACTAGATAATTTAAAGTTCTATTAGATGTGGCATAACCTCACTAGGAAATAAAAAATTATCTAGCCAGTATTATGTAAAGATGAAGTTGAGTAGTACTAGTTGCCTACTTGGGACAATTATTTGGTGATCTATTGTCATCTTAAAACTTACCATATGTAAAGAGGAAGGTCAAACAAGGTGGAAGTGGCGATTTCTAAGGCCTCGTTCACTTCGCAGATTTGAGTTTTTAATTCGAGCTGAGATGTGACATTTTCTTAGAGCTTTTTACTGTAGCAAAAAAAGTTAAATGTGACATTTTCTGAGAGCTTTTTACTGTAGCAAAAAAAGTTAGATGTGACATTTTTTGAGAGCTTTTTACTGTAAAAACCTAAAACTGAAAACTCGAATCGGTGAAGGAATCGCATTTCTAGACGTTATAACTCATCAGATATTGATTGGAGATAAACAATTCGATCAATCCAGATCCAATTTTCTCTTATTTCGGAAGAAAATATGGAAAGACATAAATTCATGAGAAGGAATCGCGTTTCTTTCTTTTTTTTTTTCAAAGAGAATGAATCAAGTTATGTGCAGATATGTTGGTTTAGAACATTGACAAGTAACTTGGGTTGAAAATGCTAGGTAATTAAACTGAATCCTAACCGTCATTAAGAAAAAAAAATTTGGAAGGAGTATTACAAAAATCAGGAAAGATGAATATATATCACGCGGATATGTTCAGGGGAGAATACATGGAGGAAAAGGTTGTAATTACAACGTTATTTGGTAAAAATATGAAGGAATTAAACAAATATACTTCTCAGTGTCTATGACTTATGACTAGAAAGAACAAAGTGACTGAAATGTTGAGAACTTTTATATGTTTGTTGTTATTTGATCCATCATCAGCGTTGAAAAATAAATTTTTTTTGCTATTATTTACGTAATAATAGCAATTTAAATCCTATTATTTTCACTACAACAATAAAGGTCATTTGTGACGACATTATATGCGACGACATATGTCGTCACAAATAATGAAATATTTGCGACGACATGTCATCGCAATTAATCCCCGTTAAATAAATTAAGCATGTTGTCGCTAATAAGTTCAATGTCGTCGCAAATAGTTTAGGCGCGCAATTTTCAATGGTGCAGATTTTTTCCGCCAAAGGGAATCCATTTTTTGTGACGACTTGTCGTCGCAAATATCTTATTAGTTGCGACGACACGTGTAGTCGCAAATAATATCACTCTATTTGCGACGATGTTCTCTCTTTGTCGTCGCAAATAATCTATACACATTTGACCAAGAACAAACGCGGGGGAATGATTATTTGCCACGACATAATGTCGTAGCAAATAATTTCCAGATGTGGGGTATTTGCGACGATTTTTAAATTTATTTGCGACGACAATGTCGTCGCAAATAAGTCTGATCTATTATACCCTAACTTCTTCCTCTTTATTTTCCCCCGATTTCAGTCTCTCTCTCTCCTGCTAACTCTCTTTGCCTTTTCTTCCCCTCACCGCTGCCCGCCGTCTTCTCTCTCTCTTCCATTTTATCTCTCCCCTTCTCTCTCTTCCCTTCTTTCTCTCTCTCTTCCCTTTTCTCTCTCTCTCTCTCTCTCTTCTGATCCCCTCTCTCTTGTTCTCATCTCCGGCCGCCGCTCCTGCCGCCCCCCCGCCCCTACCACGCCGCTCAAAACAGAATTTCAGGTTTTTTTTTATTTTTTTTTTCTTTTTGTAAATTTTATTTTTGTTTGGTTACTTGCATTGATTCGAAGAATGTTAGGGATTGTTGTTACTTGTCGAGTAAATGGAAGAAGGAAATAGAAAATAGAAAATGTTATGGATTTTTGTTCGAGTTTAGTCATTTTTTATGGTTCTGAGAATTTAATTAATCAAGAATTGTGTCTATATGTTACTCTAGATGTTAATAAAATGTTAATTTTGGTGTTTGAAAATTATGTTCGATGTTTTGTTTTGATATAGGCGTTTGATTTTTCGCCTCCGTCACTATTTGCACGGTTCTTCCGACGTAATCCTGCTATTTTCAGTCCCCGTTTAGTAGGTTTGAACTTTGTAAGTTTTTTATATTTATTTAGTTTAAAATTGTTGTAGTTTTTGGTTGTATGAATTCAGGATTATGATGACAATATTTAAATTATGATTTTCTTACATTGTTGAAATTTAGTATATGTTTATGATTCTTATTCTGGGTGGCACATCTTGCAGCTATGGTGTGCCGAAATCTTTTAAAGTTATTTTT